AGATTACTGTACAATCTCAATTTCTTCCCCTCTCCAGGGAAGGATACTGTAAAATCTCCATTCCCACCCAACTCCAGGGGAAGATTACTGTACAATCTCAATTTCTTCCCCTCTCCAGGGAAAGATTACTGCAAAATCTCCATTCCCTCCCCACTCCAGGGGAAGGTTACTGCAAAATCCCTGATGCTGATCCGTACCGATCAGCTGGGACTCGGGAGGCAGAGAATATATTGGGGCAGGGCCAGTCAGAGGTGGTATTTACCAGTTCTCCAAATTACTCAAAATTTCTGCTACTAGTTCTCCAGAACTGGTCAGAACCTGCTGAATACCACTTCTGGTCTAATGGTTATTTAATAAAAATTCTGCTGAGTCCTACTTTCCTGGTAACTGAGGATATGACTTTGAATTTTAAATGTCTTTATTGAATTTTTAATTTTTATCTTCATGATTAAGAACCTAGGAGAATACATTCCTTGGATGTGTGATAAGGACTTTGTTTGAAAACTCCACACACTTCAAGGGCTTTAAACATGTAGAGTTTAGAGTTTTTAGAGTTTTATTAGAATTTGTAGGCCGCCCTTTTCCCTGATTCAAACCTAACTTTATAAACTATATTGACAAAAAAGAGAAGCTTGAATTAGACTTTCAAGCATTCATAGCAGTAAACTTAAATGTCAGAGTTAAAAGAGAAACTTTTGTTTTATGACTCATGAGATTGTAGAATTAGAAAAAAGCTTCTGTTTTAACATTATATTATTTCTGGCATATGGAAAGGGAGAAGCTACATTAGAAACTTTTAGTACCTTAATTGCAGGCAGTTTATATTTGGAGTAATATGATATGTGGAATGAATGTGGAAAGATCATCCTGTTATTTCTAATATCAGCCCTTTCTAATAATTCTTTTTATTTTGTAACAGCAAAGACAGAATTAATTACTTTAGGTTGTAGAATGAGATAATAAATTATTAAAAAATCAACTCTTATGCTTAAACTATGATGGTTTCTACATAATATAAGCAATATATTTATGCTAAAAAAAACTTTGCTCTCCTGAGGAAAGATATTATTCTGAAAGAATGCTGAATGCCCTTTACATAGAAGGCTGCAGTAAAAAATAAATAAATAATATATTATTTTATTTTATAAGCTTCATAAATTCATATGTTATTCCATTGCATTTCAGCGGCCTTGCTCATCATATCAGAACTTACAGATAGAGCCAATGATAGCATACAACAAGGGGTGAGTGCTAAGTCCTGACTTCAGAAATCGTAAATCAACACTATCTTGATTATTTATTGTTAAAAATGAAAAAAAACTCACAAGAGGCTTCAAATAATGGTACAGTACATTCAACTTTGACAATATATGTGCGTATTGATGTTTTAACTTTGTGTATATAATTTACGTTATATTCACACATTAAAGTATTTATGTTCAGCAAGGTCTGTCCATAGAAATGAAAATGATTGGTTATTGATTTTATAGAACAATGTAATGGGAGGGCACAACAGCAGGGGAATTGTCCAATGGGAGGATGTAGTAGCTAACAATACTGAAGCAGCTTAAGGTTGCAGTGTAGAGTGACATGTGAATTATTACACCAACGGACAGACAATAACTCTGCCTACCTCTGGTAGGTTTCAATTTTAGCATGTTTTTCCTCATCAAGGCTTCCTGACCTCAGGATAGGTCAACAGTTTCATCAATACTACTCATGGCAGAGATGTAAACCTGAGTATTATTGGCATACTTGCAAGAACCAAGGTGGTGCAGTGGTTAAAGTGCTGTACTGCAGCCACTTCAGCTGACTGTTATCTGCAGTTCAGCGGTTCAAATCTCNATAGATAGATAGATAGATAGATAGATAGATAGATAGATAGATAGATAGATAGATAGATAGATAGATAGATAGATAGATAGTAATTGATAAATGATGGATGGATAGATGATTAGATAGATAGATGGATATATGCATGCATGGATGCATGCATACACAAATGGACAGACAGACAGACTGTATCAGAGATACAGTATACAGCAGCTGTGATTTGTTTGCATTGCAATGGTCAGGCAACCTTTATGTTCAAGGCTTTATTCTTGTTTGCCATACCATGTCTATCTGGCATGTCCAAGAGCTTCCTGCCAACAAAATCCAAGTGCTGAATAAAGACTTAAATGTCTGGGCAGCTCTGATTTATTGCCAAGTCCTGATGTGAAGCCTTACAATAATAGGTCCAACTTTGAGTTTGGCTGAACCGCAATATAATTAAAGCCGAAAACAGTGTGAAAAAGCATTCCAGTGTCGCAGGCTCTGTGGAAGTGCGCAATTAAACTTTGTTACACTTTTTAAAATCAAACAATAAACACGATGCGGGAAAACTATGAAGGAAAGTTATGTGGAACTATGTTATTGTTGCAGTTATAAAATTGTCCATCCTTTCAGGTCGTTCGTGTATGCTTTTGGCTGGTTTCTGAGACAAAGTTGGCAGACATATTATGGGGTAGTTAGTGAGGAATCTGTGGGCCATGCCAAGCAGAACAATGATAGTAAAGGAGGTAATGGAAGTGTGGGAGGGGAGATCCAGAAGTTATACTGTATTTTCCCTCTTGTATTGGGGAACAGTTTAGGAAATGGGAAGGAAGAAGGCTGAGTTTGACTTTTCTGGAGAGAGGTCCCATTTCATGGAGGAGAAGGTCTACAGCATCCTATGACCCTGGACCATGACTCCTGAGACGCTGATCTTAACTCTGCTATTTAAATAATTGTAGATAGATTAATTAGCAGGTCAAAAGCAATTTGAGATTTCTAACACATTTTTAATCTTCCCCCAGATTACTTGAATAACCTCTGCCCTGATTCTGCTGAATATGAAGATACACAAGGTAATTTTACACAACCGCATTTTATCCAGGGCTGGGAATGATAAAACTTATGCTGCTTTGAGTTGGCGCCATCCACTCATTTTGAATTGTTAATGAAATCAGAATTTGTTAGATTAGATACATTTGATTCTAGAATGGCTGCCTAGAATGAACAATACAGTATGTCTAATGCAGTAGTGGGATTCAAACATTTTTTACTACTGGTTCTGTTGGCATGGCTTGGTGGGCATGACTTGGTGGGCCTGGCAGTGGAAGGATACTGTAAAATCTCCATTCCCACCCAACTCCAGGGGAAGATTACTGTACAATCTCAATTTCTTCCCCTCTCCAGGGAAAGATTACTGC